CAATTTTCTACTCTTTGGTTGTAGCTTTCACCAAAGCCGGTTGTAGCTTCCAACGTTGCCGGTTGCAGCACCGCCCTAGTCTCGTTTCACAGCCGCTGCTCGGTAGAAGCAAGAAAAAGGTCATCGCTCGCAGCACCGTCGCCGGCTGCAAAAGCCCGACAAGGAATGCTTGGAGTAGCAGCAGGGGTGGGCCGTGCAGCAGCGGTGGTGAGGGCGTGCAAAACCGTGGTTCTGGTGGGGAGGTAGAGATACAGGAGGGGGAAGGTCAAGCTTGAGGGTGTCACGTCCATGGCTGAGAGCAGGCCATGAAGATGCAAAAAAGAAGGAGACGGGTTGAGGAGGAAGACAACCAAGAGGGGATAAGGTGGGCCTACAGAGGGACGAGCGCACTGGGCCACAGGATCGCTCCTTCATCGAACGCGTCGCGCGCGTCCGGCGCAATGGTTCGGCCGGTGCGCCGTGTATAAACGTTTCCCTTTTTCTTTCTCATAGATCTGTTTTATTCAAAATATTTTTATCTTCTAAACAGTGCATTCAAATCTCAAACTGTTTTTATCATTGGATTCCTTGCATCGAGATCTTTAAAAATAGATCCCATGTTGATAGATTTGATCAACCTTTTTTTCATGGAAAAAACCGAATGAAAAAATCAAATCCAATGCGCGTTTACTGTGCCTCTCGCGAAAGCAAATACTTACCTCCATGAGAAACCCGTATCACTCGCGGAAGAAAAAAATGTTTTCAAGAGGCATGACCATGTCTCTCACGAAAGCAAATCCGTGCCTCTCTCGAAAACGATAAAAAACATGTTTTTTATTTATTTTCGAGAGAGGCACGACTGTGCCTCTCACGGAAGCAAATATGTGCCTCTCTCGAAAACGATAAAAAATGTGTTTTTTTTTCTTGAAAGAGGCACGACCATGCATCTCGCGGAAGCAAATCCGTACTTTCATGAGATGTCAATCTGTGCCTCTCACGGAAGAGAAAAAAACATGTTTTTTCGTTTCAATGTGGTCAGCAAAATCAAAATTCATAAAGAGGCACGGTCGTGTCTCTAGTGGAAGCAAATCTATACCTCTCGCGGAAGGGAAAAACGTGTTTTTTTTTAATTTCCAAGAGGCATGACCATCAAAGTAAAATAGAAATGCATTTTTTTCATTTTCGAGAGACACGTCCGTGATTCTCGCGGAAGAAAAAAAACGTGTTTTTTCACGCAAAAATAATTTTCCCTGAATTTTTTGTCCAAAAGCTAAGAAAGACCAGTGGTAAACCAAAAAGCCGAAAAAAGAAAAAAAAACATCTCTAAAGACAAAAACGCGTGCGAAAAATAAAAAGTAGAAAAATTCAAAGGGAGCGCTTAGAGCACGAAAAATGGGCACTCTCAATTCACCGCAAGTGACCCTCGCATGGGCTCTTGAAAAAGTACTCCTTCATTGGTTGCTCCAAAAAAAACCTAAATTCTTCAAAAAAACATGTTGTCTGGATGAGACGAGTGGCCACGGCTCGACTGCTCGATCAACCCAGATCTAACGAGCCGTGTCCTACTTTAATAAAAAATGCGGGAACTTTGGGAGTTTTATTCAACAAAAGCGGTCCTCGAGCAGTCAACAATGAGGCTGGTGATGATGAACTAAGGTACAGAGTCTAGCCAGCTATCGGTGACCATCAGCGTACAAGCACGCTTAGCACAAAGATGACCTAGTAAGTTTGTTGATCAAGATACATGTTGAATAACAAAAACTAGAAAAGATGAAGATAGCTCTCCGGTGCCACAACTGAATGATAATTGTGGCGACCGATGAGTGTTTCAGAGGTTGACCAACATAAGATAGTCAGTATCCATTATCACATATGTTAAGCCTCGTAGACTTGCAAAGATCACACCTTCTCTTGGTGATAACGCCTCCATGATCAAGGAATCGGTGACCCTTTCATGTGGTTTGCTCCAAGCACCAACAAGACTGGCCGGCGTTAATATTAGGTGTAGCTATAGAATAATAATAATAATAATAATAATAATAATAATAGGTATTAAGGACAGTAAAATTGAGCCTAAAGCGAGCTCTCTCACGCCCCTAATGTTTCTGGCCATCGGATTTCGTGTTTGATCAGTTTCTAGCCATCAGATCTTTCTCTAAGGATAGTTTACCGCGATTTGGGCTGGCTGTCCTGATAGGCTGCTATTCTGGAGACCTTTTCGGAGGCCTGTCGTTAATTACGGGCTGCTATACAAGCCCATTTGGGTAACCGACGACGGACCAACGACGTGTTGCCTTATATCCGGAAAAAAACTGTTCGCTCGACACAGCACGAAACGGGTCAGTCGTGCGACAGAGAGTGGATCCAGCGCCCGTGGAGAGGAGGAGATCCTGCGAGGGGATCCAATCGACGAGCGCATGATGCGGGCGATTGGTCTTCTGACCAAGATCCTTTCCGCTGAATCCAGCCGATGCGCCCAAGGAAATCCAGCAGATGTGTGGTGCGGGTGGGGATCCAGCGGACGCGTGCGATGAGGGTGACTAAAGGGCCGCTCCATCGAGCCGAGGCAGGCAATCTACCTGCAAGGTGGAGTACGAGGGAGGGGACGCGGGCGATGGCCGACGCCTCATCTGATGGAAACTGCTCCATTGAGACTTGAAAGACGCAATTATACTTCGGCCGTTATACTTCATTTTCTGAGCGCCCATTCATGGCGAGTGATGTGCTGATCCTTTCCGGCGCCGAGTGGTGCAAGTACGTCTACATAACTCTTCTTCCTTCCCTACCACTCTTCGCTCAGACGCTCACGCTTTCCACTCCGGCAGCATATCTTTTCGCGAGCACCTTCTCGTTGCAGCATGGTGGCCACGCCTGACGGCTTTACTGTTCATGGTAGAGCAGTGATCAGCGGCAAGAGAGATGGGGGAAATAATAGGGTGAGACTGAGTTTTTTTTCTAGCTATTCCTTTTCTGCTTCTCAACTGCGTCCATCTTTTCCTGAGACCTCTAACCAGATCTCACAACCCCATCTCTTCTGTCTCTCTCGTTTGGGTAGCAAGTTGCCCTGTTATTGGCCTTTATTAAGTTTCTCCTGGATTTTTTCTTCTGTTTCTCTACATGTTACGCCAACGAAGGTTTACAAGTAGGTACAAATCTTCAGAGACTATAAACACCAGGTCTGGAGGGTTGAAACAGATTCCAAGCACATCTTCTTGGGATGCAAAGAACGAATTTAAGCTGGTATTTCTTAATTAATTGAACACCAGGTCAGGAGAGTTGAAACAGATTCCAAGCACTGAGTCATGGTGGAGCTGATGTGTTCTTTCTATACGTATTCCCTGGGAGATGATCACTTAATCTGTAAAATTTCATAGTTCCCGCTGGGAGAGTTCATGCAGATTTGCTTCCTCATGTATAATTATAAGTTGTCTATTCACAAACGTTCAGTTCAGCTGCTGCAGATGATGCTTGGTTATTGAGGTACTGCCAGTACATATGTTAACTCTAAACTGGACCATTGATTCAGCAACACTACTTTTTGTTTGACTGTATCTTCAGCAAGGGTACTCTTATTTCATGATTCTATACTGAACCACTGGTTTTTGCTCGAGCTGTACTATAGACTCTTAATTGTGATTTTTTTGAAGCAAATTTCATATCTGCCACTTACGAGAAATTTAGATAATCGTAGGCTTTTCAGAAGCTTTTGACCTTAGAACGAAGGCTCTTAAGAAGCTGCACTACATGAATATGTGGATATCACATGTATGTTTTTCTTTCTTTAAATTTCTGATGCTTATGAATCATCCGATGTAAGTAGTTAGCAAGTATGGAAGATAATGTATGTTTTGATCTGTCGAGAGATGCTTTTTCGCTCCTATTTCATTTTGGCTTCGCCTCCAAAATATTTCATTGGTTCTTGCACATCTTGGCTACTTGATTTCTGTAACTTTTGCAGTTTCATTTCATATTTTCATGTAAAATGTGTGCTACATTAAGTTTATCTCATATCTATGAGAATACTGTGTAATTATATGTAATGATACAACATATCTTTATGTAATTGAATTTCTTTGTTTCATTTATCTTAAACTGTCTATGAGAATACTATCAGTTGTCACAACTGCCTAATACATTAGCATAAGAATATCCTTTTTTGATTACTGAATGATATACTTTATGTAATTGAATTTCTATGTTTCATTTCTCTTATATTTATGAGATTCCTATCATTTCAACGAAAAATAGACGGGCGCAGCAACGCGCGCCATCGATGATCTAGTAGTACAGTATAACACAGTTTTCTCAGGGAAAAAAAAGAGAGAAGAAAACAACAAGGCACCTAAAAAAACGCGAAAGGGACAAGGTGTCTCCAGGCAGTGTTAGTTTCCGCGCCGAAAGGCACGAGAGAAAAGTGGACACTGGACGAACAGATGTTTGCAGGTGGATACACATCATTCATCACATCAGTTCCCGACATATGGTCTTTGTTCCGTCAGGCGAGTGAGATAGCCCAACCGCACACCTTAAGCATTTCAAGCAGATGTGAAAGGAATTTGACAATTTAGACAAAGCCAGTTGAATTTTGCATATACTTTTCTTGGACAGTAAAACTGCCGTTACCGGCAGTACCCACGGCAGTCAAATCTACCGGTACTTCCCCTAAACCGGTAGCTAAAATCTTTGTATGCACCGCCAGTTCACGACTCACCAACCGGAAACCATAAAAATTCAAGACTTCCAACCAGAAACCATTCCATTCACTATAACACCTTTACAGGGTGACAACTACAGGCAACATGTCAAGCATGGTTCGTTCAGACTTCAGGCTAAGGCATGCATGAACCCCAAAAGAAAGAGAGATGATCAACTGCGACACACACGGATGAATTTTCTTGATTAATGGTACAAAGAACATCTAGCTACCCTACGAATGATTCATGTGCATACAGTATACATCAGTTATCTTTACAACTACCGAACTGTGGTCGGTATGCGCCCCGAGGTTGCCCAGAGACTCCTCACATGAAATCCATGGAGTCGCTTAGAGACTGACCACTCAGCGACTGGCCTCCATTCGAAGAATTCTGGGAGTGGTTTTGGGGGTGGTGATGCTGATGACCTTGGTAGTGCATCTGCTGCTGCGAGAAATAGTTCGGAATCTGCTGCTGCTGTTGCTGATGCTGCTGCAGCCCTCCGCCGAAGGGGTTTCCATTCATGTTTGGAACTTGACCTGCCGCTATCTTAAGCCGCTGGACTTCTTCTCTCAGGGCATCATTCAGAGCTGCACGGAACAGATACATGGTCACAAGGTGACTGATTGATCACTGGTCGACCCTCAGATGCCTTAAATGTTCAGGGAAGACGATGGTTTTTGTTCTGAGCCTATATATTACAAAGACTAGCAAACTTCGAAAACAAGACTAGGGCATACCATTTCGAAGTTTGGCTTGTTCTTCCATGGACTGCAACCGGAGTTTGAGCTCTCTGTTCTCAACAGTTAAACCGGAAGTATCCCTCTGGGTTACAAAAAAAATTCAACACAGAGACTGTAAGATGATGCAACAAAATATTGGTTATCACAGTCCTGATAAATTTGATGTCGTCATACTCAGAAAATAGCATTACCAAGAATACAAAGTTCACTAGCTCTACTACAAACTTTTATTAGTATTGATTATGGATCAGGTCTTAATAAATCTTTTTCGCTTCCATATTTCTTTTTCCAGCGTAAATAAGATGTTCAGCACTGGCCAAACTTTCTAGAGAAAAAGATGAATCTTCTGTTACTATCTCCCTGCCCACCAAGCCAAAGCTTCACCCTAACACCACCCATTTGGTTCCAACATCTTCAATCAAATTAGCTTTCAAATAGAGCATCACTTCCCCTGTTTTTGACATGACCAGCCATCAAGCAGAGGCGCCTGCATTATCCCACCTACTTTTGGGTGCAACAAATCATCTAGTAGTCACATCAACTACAGGACCAGATTTTTATAGGGATGCAGGCGGACAGTGTCCGCATAGCATCCGCAAGCATATAATTAAAGCAGCATCACTATTAAAGCAACAACACATTAGTTCCTCTCCTGCCATCGCGGACATAGGCGGACAACGCGGACGTGTCTGTTTGCGTTCCTAGCTTTTTATGCTCCAGAGCATTCATTTATATGTACACGTGTCATACGTTTCCCTTAACAATATCTGTGTGTAACTAGAAATCAACAGTTAGCTATTCAAGGGCTATACAGGAAATCCACTACATGCTCATGTAATTTACTCCCTCCGTCCCAAAATTCTTGTCTTAGATTTGTCTAAATACGGATGTACCTAGTTACGTTTAGTGTTAGATACATCCGTATCTAGACAAATCTAAGACAAGAATTTTGGGACGGAGGGAGTACTAAGCTTGAGACACTTATTTTGGGATGGAGGGAGTAGTATTGTAAGGTTCTTCTCTTCCAGCCCCGGGCCCCTCTCCAGTAAGGAAAGAATTCAAACAAAAAGAAAATAGGCAGTATATACAGGTAGAGAAGTACTTGATTCACGATATTTTTTATCGATTGCCATAAAAACAACAAATTAACCTTGGGGAGCTAACCTAGTGCAACAAGTTTTCTTCACATAGACTGATAAGTTTATAGCTTCAGCGTGGCCAGGAAGCTTTCAACATAATTATGATAAAATTTTATCCTACACATTCATTAAAGGTGTGTGGATGCATCCTAAGATCTATATACTATAACAAGCAAAAGTGAGACAAGCAAGAAAACAAGTTGATAACAAAATGGTGAGTCCTCAGGAAGCAGAATTGATATTTGTATTTCGTAGTGACAGACAGCAATATGTGTAAACTAACTATCAAACGGAGAGTTAAACTCATTAGGATCATGCCGTCCACTACACTTGAACAATCAATTATCAAAAGCTCTACCAATTCAACAATTGGAAACAACTAAGTGGTGGGGTCAAAATACACAATCTTCACTGAATGGAAGATGAGAATCAGAAAACAGAGGGTAACACATCATCTCGGACCCAGTATATGTTGTGACCCTCAGATATAATAAAATAAAAGTGGACAGTATTGAAATGTAATCTTACAAAATTCCCTTCGGAGAATAAAAAAAGAGAATGTCCTTATTAACTCTAAGAAGAGAAAATAGCTAGTACTGTTTTTTAAAGGAAATGCTCATAGAAATGTCAACAACTGTAGTAATGAGAATTGTTCATGAGGGGAACAGATAAGTTAAGATATTAAAGCAGTATGACAAGAAGTTGTAAGCGAAGGCAATCGTTTGTTTATCCTGGTTGCTTCTTTCAGGACGCAAGCTTTGAATTAGTCAGGTCCATATTAGTGTTACCAATGCAGCTTCCACACTTGTCCAACAATTAAGGAAAGCAACCAACTAATGTAGACTGATCAGACAGAATATTGGCTTCAGCTAGTCAATTAATTAGGTTTGGCTCAAGCAATCATGCTGCCATACTTTGCGGTTTATGGACTACAAACAACACAGATCAATTATACACACCTGAAGAAGCGTGAGCTGTGCAGAGAGCGTTGTCGCCTCTGTCTGCAGCGTCTGCACCTTCCTCTCCAGCTCGCCGGTGTACTTGATCTTCCTCTCCTTGGACCTCGCGGCCGACTGCCTGTTGGCCAGAATCCTGCATACCAGAGACTACCGCCATGAAACCACACCTAAAATATAACTCGACTGAACCACAGGACACCCTGGAAACTCAAAATTAGGCAGCACGAGCAAGGAGCTGGATGTCAGTAACGCAGGGCACTAGAACTAGCAGCAAACTACCTTTTGGATCTATCAAGCTTCGCTCCACGGATAAAGCGAAAGGGGAAGAGCTGAAGAGGACCTCACCTCTTAGCGCGCTTGGGGTCGAGGAGCGCGAGTTCAGCGAGCCTTTCCGCGGGAATGGCCTTCTTGGCGTAGTCCGGCAGCCCACCGGACAGCGCAGACTCGCCGTCGGACGGCGAGCTCGCTCCATCCATGGAGCCGCTCCTCTTATGCCCAGCTCCGCCTCCGCCTCCCCCCTGCAGCGCGAGGCCGTCGAAGAAGGCGGCGTCGAGCGAGAGGCTCCTCATATGCGCACCCCCGCCACCGGGCGGCCGCGGCGCCGGCGCCGGGGACGCGGCAGCCCCCTGCTGCTGCGGCGGCAGCGGCGGAGGAGGCGGGGTGGGGTCGGAGGAGACGGCGGGGGAGTCGTCGGAGAGGGAGGGGAAGTCGAGGTCGGAGAAGGAGAAGTCGCTGTCCGGGTCGAGCAGCAGGTCCGCGTCGGGGAACCGGATGAAGGTCTCGGAGTGGGCCCGCCGGTGGCCGCGCGGCGCACCCGCGGCAGCAGAGGACGGCGCCGGCGGCGGGAAGCGCGGGTCCATGGCGGCGGTCAAGGTCCGGTCGGCGCGTGGTTCGCTCGGAGCCGGAGGGGGAGTAGATGCGGGTGGGCGTATGCGTCGGGGGAGCTCGAGGTGGGGGGCTGGTACAAGAGTCAAAGTGTGGAGGAAGGCGGAGGCTGCGCCTCGGTTCGGCGTGGACACGGTGCATGAACTGGACGGTACACGCGCGCATCACGAGGTTGAGTGCACGGTTGATACGGCGTATGGCTTGTGCGGTGGGTGCAGGGAGGGGAAGAATATCCGGCGGTGTGAAGTGGCAGTAATTCCCCTCGGGGGGCACCGACGTTTGACTGAACCCGGTCTACGACGGTGCTGCCAGAGGGCGCGAATGTGCCCGTGGTACCGACGGCGCGATGTGTCTCTGGTGCATGAGGCTGGTGTATGGGAAGAGGTGGGTGAGGGGCGAAACGGTAACTCTGCGTTGGCCGTGGAAGGAGCGCCGCGTGGTTCCGAGAAAAAGAGCACCCCCTGTCGCTGTGCGGTCGCTGTTTGGCTGTTCCTTGCGCTTTACTTGAAAATTAATGACATGTGGGCCCCAGCGGCTTGGGGGCTAGCGGGTGTACGTGGCGTTCTGGTGATTGCCGGGAGGGTCCGTGCGTTTTGCTGCTGGCTTGTCGGTCTCCACGGACGGACGCCTTGGCATCGGCAGCAAGGGTACGTGCCAACTGCCAAGAGGGCTTTCGGTTTAATAATTTTTAAATATTTCAACCTGCAGTGTTATATTGTTTGCAGTTTACTATCCCCTTTTACGAATTTCGGATTAGTATTGTTCAAGCTATGCATCATTGGTTGTGGCGGTAGTAGCTTCTGTTGAGTATCGTGATTAGTTAGAAAAGATAGGATATGATTTATTCTATCTTATCTTGTATTTTAAATAGATTATGTATTTATATATATATGCCTACAAGGCTCAAGCAATACATATTACATCAATCTTCTCTCTATTCCTTTTACATGGTATCAGAGCCGTCTTTAGAAATTCGGGCCCAGCTGTAAAAAAAACAAAATGGGGCCCAATATAACTCAAGCATAATCACTTAATTATACCATTCAAACTTAAGTTATTTAGTAGTACAATGTTTAGAAAACTAGATGATGCTCCACGCGTTGCTGCAGAACATTGGTGTGGGATAGCATTACTTTTTCTAAGCATGTTAACATGAAATGTCAGATGAAACACACATTAACAACGGGTAATTGTTAGTAACTGGAATTAGTATTATATAACAACAGACCCTGTAGTAGTTTCGTGTCTGGCAAACATGGCGAAGAATGTTCATAATTTGGTTATTTTCATATCAATATATCATCATATATATAACTCAATAAAACAAATAAACACATGAAGTTTGTGCTAGCTTGAAAGATTATATGTACATCTTGGTTAACACACACGCTCAGGTATACATGGGCCCTTGCTTCAAGCTTTTTCTCTAAAAGTGAAAATTATCGAATAAAAATGTGAGATAAAGACGATACAAATAAAGGAATGGATAAAAAAATGTGAAATGGGTACAGGAGAGAAGAGACACAACCACATAATTAGGAGGGGAAAACTTAGTCTCAACTCGCTTAGTAGTGTATTCAGAAGATAGCACATGAAAAAATGATTCTTTTGCAAGAAAGTTACGTTCTCCTTTAACAGGGGAACAAATGATAGAATTGTGTATTAGGCCTGATAGGCAAGATTTTTGATGAGATAATATCAGTAACAAATTGACGGAGAATGGATTCCAGTAATCTACATGCCGAACATAGAGTATTTGCCGCAAGATCAAAAAACAATTCTATAAAAATGCACCAACAATAATATATTAAGAAAAACATATGCCGAAAAGCAACCTAAAAAAATATAATAGTAGAGTCGAGATAGGGCACGGACCTACCAGATCGTACCATGACCATCGGGCATTCAATCATGTGATGCTTGGCATCCACGCTGCTTCGTGGGTTGGGAGTCATTCAGATCGCTGCCACTCAATGCAGTCTCCATATGGGAAAGGCCATGTGAAAAAATGAATTGAAACTTTGATCATAGCATACAGATCATCCCCATACATATCGCATAGAAGCAGCGGATGCTTTCCTAGTTGGTAATCAAGTAGCGAAAATGTAAATAGAAGCGGGTGGCCTAAAGGATAGAATCAAAGGGTGGCCTCTCCTTTGGCTTGGCAAATTTAAGAAAGAAAATGAAGGGCTCTTGGTGCTGTTTGTATATCATGTTGCGCCACAAAAAGAGATAAACATGGGGCGTCTGCAAACCCTAGATCAGATCCAATCGGGCCAGCCTAGGCATGGCCAGAGGGAGGAGGGAGAGAGGCAACTTACCTGTAGAGAACCACGAGAACTCGGAGCTGAACTGCGGCTCCAGCTTGCCCTCACGGATGTTGATGAGCTTGTTGATGTGGCTGAACTGCGGCTCCTCTCATCCTCTATATCGACCGCCTTGCGATCTTGCCGCGCCATCGCCGCCGTAGCCGTCGATTCTACCCCAGACAATGGCCACAAACCCTAGATGAAACTGCGTTCTGCTGCGTCCGTCCCCGCATGGGGTTTTGTGTCGTTGGGGAGAGAAGGGATGATGAATGGGAGACGGCGAGGGATTCATTCTGCACAGACGTTTCCACTCGAGGACGACGGTTCACTTCTCCGCGCTTCCGCTTCCGTGGGGTCGAAGAAGGAGGGGTCAACCCAATGGGTGTGACCACGTGAAGCACCGGGATCAATTCGAGCTGCAGATCTGAGCCATCTATGGAGAATCAAATGGTCGAAAATAATTATGGTGACGTGGATGCATGAGAACGCAGAGAAATCAAGTAGTGGGGGGCTTCTATTTAGATATAGTAGATTCTCAAGCAGCAACGCAAAAGAGTAAGACCAACAAACTGACCTCTTGCTCTATTGAAAAGGGCCATTTGTCACGTGTTCCTTAAAATGATATCTTCAATTATGTCTGCATAATTAATGTTCTCCAAGACATCATTTTTAAGTGCTATCGTTGCAAAACCATTGGGTCTTTCTTGTGTCATAGTAGAATTCAACAACTTGAGTTTTGAAAAGCTCATTTCCACATATGCAACAGTTACACGAATTGTTAACAAAATCTTGCACGCCATAATAGCATTAGGATAGAAGGGGTGCTTCATCAACAACTAAGGCCCTTTCCAGTGCTCCATCATGGACAGGTGCTAAGCATGCCACATAAGCGAAAAAATGACATGGCACAACATTTAAAGAGGGGAGAGAGCACTTTGGTGACCCCAGAAAGAACCAATGCCAAGCGCGAGAATCTAGGCAAACCACTTAAATGAAGCAATTTGACCAATGCATGAAAGACTTTAGGTGTTAACTCATTAAATAAAGTGTGCTTAGGAACAACAAGTTAAGCACCTATGCATTGAAGAGTTGAGTTGCTAAGATATTTAATGCACTTAGCACCCCATCTAAGCACCATTGCATTGGTAGAGGTCTAAGAATATCAACAGGGCCCATAGCTTTCTTAACTAAATCCTGGATGAAAACAAACACACAAAACAATTCAAGTCCATCAATGTCTTTATATTCTCCACTCTTCTTCTAATTTATGTGTCTTCTGTTTCTTCTTACGCTTTAAGGCACCATAATCACACTTTCTTCTAGAACTAGAATGCATAATTGTTTTTGTTTTTTAACCAAACAAAAATAGTATCAATGCATTTGGACTGATGAACCCACATCAATTATAGGCTTGTGACTTGCATAGATAGTTAGAATCAGATTGAATCTTGATTTTGGACTTGGACGACGTGACGAGCAACTATTGAAAATCTTGAATCTGTGAGACCGACAACTTCTGAACTTCAACAACTAGACAAAAAGTTGTTTCAAAAAATATTAGTAAGATCGTAATAAAACTTTGCGGTTTGTATCAAAATTAGAGGAAAGGGGAGGAACGTGGAGGCACCGGTTCGTCTTCTATTCGGCGGCACCGCGGCAGTGTCAACCGACGCTAGCAAGTCTAGTTCTTCTTCCACCCGTCGCCTGGCTGCAAAGAAATTGCTGCCAAGCCGCCGATTCAGTCAAAGCGAAAAGATTGATCGCACAGTGGCGAGATGGAAAGCGAAGCGATTATTTAAGGAATAAGGAACGGCAGATTTCACGAAAACGTACGTACACGTAATGCACTGGGACTATCGTTTCGTTTACGATCACTCGGATCGATTTTTTTTAACATAAATACAGACACAAGCGCTTATATACACGCGCATACACTCATCCTTATGAACGCCGAAAGACTAAACCGGCATATCGTCTTGAAATTTTACGAAGTCATCGTAGACACCTCGTCGTCGACAGAAACGTCTCCTTCCACTGAATGCGCATCGCCGAAAATCCTGAAATAAATCCAGAAATAAATGCGAGCACCAGAATTTAAATCCTGGCGGGTTGGGGATATCATAGTCCCTCTAACCATCCAACCACAGATTGGTTCGCACTTGGATCGATCCAAGCGACGACGATTGGCAGAGTTTGGCTAGAGGCCTTTGAGCGAACCAAGCCCACAAGAAGGCCGAGACGAGTGCTTTAGCCTTCAGGCGACAAACAGAGACTACTTTCAGCCTAAAACTAAAAAAATTCATACTGTCCATACACGTATCAGGACCCTAATTGCCCCCCTGATTTTGGGGGCCTATGCGAGCGCACAGCTCGCACATGGCCTTCAATGGCCATGCATGGTATCAACCTAACTTAATCCACAACCCTAAGCTGTCGTCGCCGCTTCCGTACCACGCCGCCCTCGGGGCATCGATCTCCATGATCGCCACCAGGGGTCTGGCCACGGCGCCCGTACTTTGGGTTCGTTCGACGGTCGCGTTGATCGGCTGCTCTAAAGAGTCTATTTTCGCAGTCCTATGATCTGGTTTTTCTCTCTTCCGTTGATCATATTGATCGGCGTTTTTATTGGTCCCCGGGGGGAGGGGGAGGGGGGAATCTAAGATCGG